GATTCTAAAAGTCGAAACGACCGGTTGGGTCGTTACAGTGTGTGTGCTCTTTGTATTTGTTACAAGGCAAATTGATAAGGTTTGTTAGAGGGAATATTTGGGAAAGTGAGGTGGTGATATTCTATTGGTAAAGTACAACAACAACAACAACAACAACAACAACAACAACAACAACAACAACAACAACAACAACAACAACAATAAAAAACCCAGTATGATCCCAACAGGTGGGGTCTGGGGAGGAAAGTCTGTACGCATACCTTACCCCTACCTAATGCAGGTAGAGAGGTTGTTTCCAATAGACCCTCGACTCAGGGAGGGCAAGAAGAAGAAGAGGAAAGCAATGAAGGAAGAAAGAAGGAAGAGAAAAGAAAAAGGGAGAGATAAAAGATAAGTAGTACCAAATAATAGCAATAGGGAATACAATACCTGAGGCAAACAAAATCACATAACGTAATGAAAATCTAAGAATATGAATGGACATGCATGCTACTAAGACTATCGGTGAACAACTAAAAACTACCCACTAACCTTGTACCTTAATCATCGACCTCCACACCCTTCTATCAAGGGTCATGTCCTCAGTGAGCTGAAGCAGCGCATGTCCTGTCTAATCACCTCTCCCCAGTACTTCTTAGGCCTACCTCGACCTCTTCTCAAACTCTCCATGGCCAACCTCTCACAGCTCCTGGAAAGAGCATCAATGCTTCTTCTCTTAACATGTCCGAACCATTTCAGCCTTGACTCCCGCATCTTGTCCTCCACGGAGGCTACTCCCACTCTGTCCCGGATAGCTTCATTCTTAATCATATCTCTCCTGGTATACACACACATCCATCTCAACGTTCTCATCTATGCTACTTTCATCTTCTGCACGTGGGAGTTCTTGACTGGCCAACACTCAGCCCCATACAACATAGCTGGTCGAACCACCACTCGATAAAACTTACCCATAAGTCTTGGCGACACATTCTTATCACATAAAACATCGGAAGCGAGCCTCCACTTCATCCATCCCGCTCCGATGCGATGTGCGACATCTTCGTCAATCTCCCCGTTACCCTGGATAATAGACCCAAGATACTTAAAACTCGCTCTCTTGGGGATAACTTGAGCATCAAGCTTAACCTCTACGTCTGCATCATGGGTCCCGTCACTGAATTTGCACTCCAAGTATTCTGTCTTGGTTCTACTCAATTTGAAATCTTTAGACTCCAAGGTCTGTCTCCAAACCTCCAACCTCGCGTTAACTCCGCTTCACGTCTCGTCAATCAACACTATATCATCGGCAAATAGCATACACCAAGGCACCTCCCCTTGGATGTGTCGCGACAGTACATCCATCGCCAAGGCAAATAACAAAGGGCTAAGAGTCGATCCCTGGTGCAACCCCATCACCACAGGGAAATACTTCAAGTAACTTCCCACAGTCCTCATCCGAGTCTTAGCATCATCATACATATCCTTAATCACCCTAATGTACGCTACCGGAATGTCGCTAACCTCCAAACATCTCCACAGTACCTCCCTCGGGACTTTATCGTACGCTTTCTCAAGGCCAATAAACACCATATGCAACTCCTTCTTCCTCTCCCTGTACTGCTCCACTAATCTTCTTACCAGATGAATCCCTTCCATAGTCGAACGCCCCGGCATGAATCCAAACTGATTCTCGAAAATAGACACGCACCTCCTCACCCTGGCCTCAACCACCCTCTCCCAGACCTTCATAGTGTGACTCAACAACTTGATACCCCTATAATTGTTGCAATTTTGGATATCGCCCTTGTTCTTGTAAAGCGGAACCATCGTACTCCGCCTCCATTCTTCGGGCATCTTCTTCGTCTTAAGAATAACATTAAACAGCCCAGTGAGCCACTCCGAACCTGCCCTCCCCGCGCTCTTCCAGAATTCCACCGGGATTTCGTCTGGCCCCGTCGCTCTGCCCCTGCACATCTTACGCATCACCCCTTCCACCTCCTCTACCGTAATCCGCCTACAGTACCCAAAATCCTGTCAACTCTCAGAGTGCTCCAACTCACCCATTACAATGCTTCTATCCCCCTCCTCATTCAACAGTTTATGGAAGTATGTCTGCTATTTTCTCCTAATAAGTGCCTCGTCCATCAACACTTTGCCATCCTCGTCCTTGATGCACTTGACTTGGTCTAAGTTACGGGTTTTCCTTTCCCTCACCTTGGCCAACCGGTATAACTTCTTGTCCCCGCCTCTTCCCCTGAGCTCATCATACAAAAGAGCAAACGACGCGTTCTTAGCTGTCATAACTGCTAACTTCGCATCTTTCTTTGCCTTTCTGTAACACTCCTGATATTTCCTTTTTTCCTCCTCGTTTGTACTCTCCACTAGCTTCAAATAAGCAACTTTCTTAGCTTCCACTTTACCTTGAACCTCTCCATTCCACCACCAGTCCCCTTTATGACCCCCAGGAGAGCCCTTCGTGACCCCTAAGACCTCTCTAGCAGCTACCCTAATGTAATTTGCAGTCTTGAACAACATACTAGACGCGTCCCCCCTACTCGTCCAGGCCCTCATAGCCAACAACTTCTCCCCTAAATCTTGAGCTTTGTCCTTGGTCAAGTTACCCCACTTGATCTTAGGTTGCTTGCACCCCTCCCTCTTCTTCCTACTCCTCTTAATCTCCAGGTCCATAACTAGGAGCCTATGTAGGGTCGTGAGGTGCTCACTTGGGATGACCTTGCAGTCAGTGCATAGACCTTTATCGCATTTCCTGCAGAGAAGATAATCAATCTGAGTCTTGCCCATTGAATTACGGAAAGTGACCAGGTGCTCTTCCATCTTCGGAAAACCCAAGTTAGCTATAACCAAATCAAAAGCTCTAGCAAAATCCAATAGTGAATTACCTCCCTCATTCCTATCCCCAAAACCGAACCTGCCATGCACATCATCATAACCCCCAGCACTAGCCCCAATATGGCCATTGAAATCTCCGCCAATGAACAACTTCTCTGTGTGCGTGATATTACGCACCATCTCGTCTAAATCCTCCCAGAATTGCTTATTGACCTCCTGGTCCAAACCTACCTGAGGAGCGTATGCACTAATCACGTTTACAGTAAACACACCAACTACCAGCTTAATACTCATCAACCTATCATTTACCCTCCTAACCGCGACCACGAGCTCCCTGAGGTCCCTGTCTACTAAAATACCTACCACATTCTTACCCTCAGCGCTTCCTGAGTACCATAGTTTAAACTTGTCTACATCTCGTGCCCTAGTACTCTTCCATCCAGTCTCCTAAACACACGCTATATTGGTCTTCCTCTTCTGAAGAATCTTACCTAACTCTATAGACTTCCCCGTCAACGTCCCAATGTTCCANAAGGTATTAGGTAAACACTACTACTAAGAACAAGTAGCGGGGACGAAGGACTACAAGCTACGAACCCGAGAACTAAGAACAACTCAAAGGAGCTACTACGCGAACAGTAATGCGAGCAGGCACTAGAACAATGAATCTACCACGTCTAAGAAACTACCCCTATGCAAACACAGAATTAAAATGGATAGATGAAACCTTAAGCTTAAAACACTAGTAGAAAAGATAGAAAAAGCAAGCAATCCAATTAAAATTGCCAGCAAAGCAACAGTAAATAGATGTGCGCAAATACAATTCAAGAAAGATGGAACCTGGATCACAGTCGGGGATGTCCGGACGCGCTTCCAAATCTGCTGAATGATGCTGCCTCCCGAACCCGTGTGTAGGAAAGTTTCGACGATTTGTCAATTTCACCGGAAAGGTATCTCACAATGGCAGTCGAAAAATCTCTATTCGATAATCAGAACTTGACACGAGAACTTTTACAACTGGCTAAATAAAATCTCAACTTCGCCGGAATTGAGAAGTTCGTTCGCCGGAATCTCGCTCCCTGTCCTAAATTAACAGAAATCTCCACTGCAATACTCTGACGGAGGGTTCTTTATTTTTCCGGCCAAATGCAATTCAAATGTGAAAACCGAGCCAACCACATAATTTGTTAATCGTATTAACTAAAATATTCCTTGATTGCGAGATGTCTTTGAGAAACAAAGCCAAGAAGTCAGGGAACGAAACCAAATAACAAAACCACCGTGATGGGGCAGAAAAAAGAGAAACGGGGGACCACTTCTAATTTTCCTTTCTTGCCTTTGTTTGTTGCTTTTTCAATTTTTCTTTCTTTTCTTTTTTCCTAAAGATAAACCAAAAATACTAATTATCTAAATAATAGGAAATAACTAAAAATGAAGATAAAATAGCTAAATTAAAGAAATTGAATACTACTCAATACTTATTAAAGGCCTACAACTTTAAAACTAAGCTAAGTAAATATAAATATATTTTTGAAATCTTTCTTTTTTCTTTTGTAAAATGAAATAAAATTAACTAGACAAAATATCAATAAGCTAAAACAAAGGAAAATATTTTTGTAGTTTTTAATTTTTAAGATAAAATAAAGCAAAAGAGTCAAAATTAGTTAAAATAGCAAATTAGACCTAAAAGAAATATTTAAGAATTAAAAGTTACAAAATTTCAGGGAGGTTAAAAATTACATGTCTACAATGTTATGTTGGGGCTCCATTAATAAGTTTTGACGTAATTGGTAAAGTTGTTGTCATGTGACCACGAAGTCACGAGTTCAAGCCGTGAAAACAGCCTTTGCATGCAGGGTAAGATTGCGTACAATAGACCCTTATGATCCGTCACTTTTCTGTATCCCACGTATAGCGGGAATTTAGTGCATCGGACTGACCTTTGCTCCGTAAATAACAAGAATAAATACAAGGAGATTTGCTAACAGCAAAAATATGGGATGATAAAATTGCACAATTCTGAAGGATACACAGGAATATTTTGACCTTTTCTCCTTTTAGAAACATCGAGAATTCAACCACTTTCTAATGGAGTAGTAAATGTTTAGCCGCCGGTAGACAGTAATCTTAACTCAAATTTTCGAACTTATATAATCTCGGGGTCACAAATTAAATAAGCTATCAACCTTCAATTTAATGGCTAATTCTGTCACTCTTTTTTCTATTATTTTCTCATGTTTCCTTCTCCGGCAACTAGTTTGCACAAATAGCCAAAATGTTATTAAGGGAGGGTACTGGTTTAAGAACAGTGGATTAGCATTAAACAACATAGACTCAACACTTTTCACTCATCTATTTTGTGCATTTGCTGATCTTAATCCACAATCAAATCAGTTAATCATTTCGCCAGAAAATCAAGATTCATTCAGCCAATTTACAAGTACAGTTCAAAGGAAAAATCCCCCAGTCAAGACTTTCTTGTCTATAGCTGGAGGAAGTGCTAATAAAACTGCCTATGGAATTATGGCTAGACAACCAAATTCAAGAAAAAGTTTTATTGATTCGTCAATAAGATTGGCTAGACAATTGGGATTTCATGGCCTTGATCTTGATTGGGAATCTCCATTATCAGCTACAGACATGACAAACATAGGTACTATTGACAAACATATTTTTTTTAAGCGTATAATTTGTATTTCTTTTTTATAATGTCGTGTCTATGCTTTTCCGAACCGGAGGTCTATCGCAAACAACTTCTATATCGTTACAAGGTAGAGGTAAAGTTATGTAGGCATTATCCTTTTCAAATCCCGCTTATGTAATTATACCTAGTCTGTTGTTGTTGTTATTGTTGTTATTGATATTTGAACCCAATTGGACATTTCTGCTTTGATACCATATTAAATTGTGTGGTAATCTCATTTACTATTATAAATTAGTATACACATAACATATTTTAATTTATTTAATTATAATATTTTTAACATGTCCTTCACGCGCATGCTTAATGTTTTTCATGGACAAGCATTTTGAAATTATATTTGGTAATGATTGAGACAGAGGCGAATCCATGATAAATTTGATGGTATCAATCTTAGTAGGGTTTGGACATAAAAATTGTAATTTTGAAAAAAATTTAGTATTTGAGGTTAAGTTGAAAAATGGTACTTATTTGAAATTTAAAATTTAAAATTATGTTTGGACATGCATTTCACTAGAAAACATATTACATTTTTGTGAGTGAATTTTTTTTTTTTTTTTGAAAATTTAGAAAAAGTGAATAAATTTCTAAATACTTGCAAAAAGACACATTTTTGAGAAAAGAAATTGAAAAAAGGGGAAAAGTTATGGACAAATGGGGCTAGTTATCTCACACTCAAAATTATATATAATTTATATAAAAAATGATAGGTTCCATTGAACCTGCTGATTATATGTTCCATCTGTCTGTTATGATATNTTATAATTTTGAAAAAGAGTAGTATTTGAGGTTAAGTTGAAAAATGATATTTATTTGAAATTTAAAATTATGTTTGGACATGCATTTCACTAGAAAAAATATTGTATTTTTGTGAGTGGAAAAAAAAATTCTGAAAATTTTGAAAAAGTAAATAAATTTCTAAATACTTGCAAAAAGACACATTTTTTAGGGAATTTGTTTTTGAAAAAGCGGAAAAGTTATGGACAAATGGGGCTAGTTATCTCACACACTCAAAGTTATATATAATTTGTATAAAAAATGATAGGTTCCGTTGAACCTGCTGATTATATGTTCCATCTGTCTGTTATGACACCATATATATATATATATACACCATGAAATACAAAGTGTTAGAAATAAGGTTAATTATGTTAAAGATAGAGGACTGCTTGGTTATTTTGCATGGCACGTTGCAGGGGATCAAAATTGGGTACTTTCTCGTACAGGTTAGTAGTTTATTTACTTTTTATTTTATTTTGGTTTTTATATTTTTGTATGGATAACACGTAATCGAATTATTTGCTTTTATTAAAAAAAAATGAAGTGTAAATAGGAAATTTTATTTATTACTAAGTAGTACCATGGCATAAATTAAATGTTCCATTGGGATCATTACTCGTAAAACTAAAATAGTTATTTGCAACATAACACGACATTTAAGTATTTTTGAGTAGTGGGAAAAAAACTTCAAACTTCTTTTTCTTTAGCATTTTTGTAGTTAATTGTCAAAACATCATTTTTATTGGTGCATATTTTCTCATTAAATTCTTAGGAATGCATGACTATTCTTTTTGGTCGATAGTCTTGTTAAATTTGATACATGATCAATGTTTTTAAATACCATAGTTCATATATTGGTACTTATCGAGTATAGAATAGAGTAACTTTTTTTTTCCTTATGAATAAAATACATCTATTCGAAAATAATCGATTGGACTAGAGCAGGGGCGGTCTTACCAATTTCGTGACCTAAAGGCAAACTTTATGAGGGGTCTTAACTTTTTTATTAATAAAAAAATATTTTATTTTTATTTGAAGTCTATTTTTCTAACTTTTTTAGATGCAAAATTATTATTCATTTTTAAAATTAATTTCTCCCAATAAGTCTTTCTCAATTAACAATATGCATGGCTGATTCATTTAATATATTTGAGACATTGTTGATCTTAGGTAAGGTTTTATCATTTTTAATTTTGAAACACTTTTTTCTGTTGAAGCAACAATAATATGAGTTATTAAAATCATTCTATAAGTAATATAGGCATTTAAAAAATAATTAAATCTTTTTATTTGATTGAGTATATCAATTAAATTGTTATCTTCTAATTTTACTATTTTTCTTAATATTTTTAATGCAAAAAATAAATCTAAATTATCAATATCGGGTTGATTGTTATGATTTAAGGAGCATTCAAGATGAAGCCAATATGTTTTCAAATTTCCATCATCTAGTAATTTCAGTTTTTACCGCTAAATAAAAAATCAAAAATATTTTCATATGCCTCTAATTGGTCAAATCTATTTTAAAGTGAAAAAATAAACTTGTCTACTACTCTCTCCAATCCATAATAAATTACTTTTTTGGCTTTTATTTTGGTTCAAAATAAGTGTCTTTTTATATAATCGAGAAAGAATTAACTTTATTTTCCCAAAATTTGCCCTTATTTACATATCTCTGTGTGCCAAGTTAACAACATATAAATTTTAATTAAGGATAATTTAGTCAAAATACATTTTTATTTTATTAGTCAATATTTTCTTAAGGGGCACAACAAAGGTTAAAAAGTCATTTATTATGGACCCGAGGGAGTATGTATAAAAAGTAATCAACTCTAAAGGACTATTCGAGAGATTTTGAGATTTCACTATTAACATTCTCCTCAAATTGTTTCTTCCTATATATTACACGTTTCTTATGAAATTCGGGTTCAATATTAATTGCAAATGCAATTTCCTTGGCAGAAATCAAAGCAGTTGCAAATTCTTCATCTCTATATTTGTTAAATAAAGAAATCACACTTTTTCACCACTAACTTTTTTTTGAAATTTATATATAGCCTATTATGTGTAAAACAAAATTGGGGCCTCCACAAATATGGGGCCTAAAGCAGTTGCTTTACCTGCTTTATGGACGGGCAGCCCCTGGAATAGAGGGATCCTGTCACGACCCAATTCACCTATAGGTCATGATGGCGCCCAACACTATAGCTAGGCAAGCCAGCTAATAAATTAAACATATATCAATGAAATTTCAATCCAAAAAAATAATAAGACACCAAATTCTACCAATGTATGTGCCAAGACCTGGTGTCACAAGTGTATGAGAATCTAGTAGATTATATAAAACTCCAAATACTGTCTGAAATGAAAATTGACAGAATAAAAATAATACAAGAAGAGACACTAGTAGCTGCATAACGGTTCAGAAAGGCAGCTCACCACTATGCCCCTGGATAGCGTGGGTGTAAGACGATAGGTCCCCCACTAGTACTTGCCTCAGGTCCTGCACAAGAAAAGTGCAGCAAGTGTAGTATGAGTACGTAAACAACGTGTACCGAGTAAGTATCAAGCCTAATCTCGAAGTGGTAGAGAGGAGATGGCCGACTTTGACACTCACTATGGGTCAATAATAATACTTGAAATAAAACTAGAATATTTAAATCAACATGATTAACAGAATTTACAATAATTTATTTAACGAGTAGAAATAATTAAATTCCTTCAAATGCAACAATTCTCAATATATTAATTAAATCCTTCAATTTCAATAAAAATTCTAATTTATCAAATAGCTTTACAAGCTGCAATTACTGTTCAAGTATCGTGTAGTTATTATTATTAATATTAAGTACGATTTCCGCCGAGGACGTACGGCCCGATCCAGAGTATCGTGTACACTGTCAAGGGATGTGCAGCACAATCCATAGATGCATCTATCCTGCCGAGGCGTTCGGCCCGATCCATAAGAAAGGAGGACATTTTCTTATGTACCTGCGGAATGAGAGTATTTATTGTAATATTTATTCGAGAAGATAACAATTTATTACAACAATTAATTAATCTAAACAAAATATTTAGCATATAAGAATTTCATCTTTTAATATCCTTATCTAACAATTCACAATATATATGTGTGTATATATATATATA